CCAATATTCAACGAAAACTTTATGGAAACCATATTTTAAAGTTTTGAAAAAATCTAAACAAAATACGGGATATTAAAAGGGTGATGTTTTATTGCCACACATAGGTAATCATCCTCTTAACATCCCGTATTTTTTTCAATTTTTTTTGAAACTTTAATCATCCTTTTCTTGTGGTTTTCAATGGTTTTCACCGAATGTTGGTTTCCGCATGACATTCTCCCGGGGATGGTACACTAGCACGAAAAATAGTAATAAATGTTTTTAAAAAGTTTTGTTTTTTTTATGAATGTTCGTGTTAGTGTCGCAAGCATGCTTAAAAAAATTCATGCGAATCGGAGCAGCAATATTTCGTCAGTGAAAAAACAAAATTTGGGGTTCAATATGTTTTTTTGCACATGCCAAAATGCTTAACCTTTTTGTCTTAAAATTTGCAGGTACTATTTGGATGTGATCAAAAACACATAAAAAATTGTCTTGATTTTTTAACATATCAAATATTTTTTTGGGGCCCGGGAGCACGTGCTCCCGGAAGCCAAATTGAATTTCGGGCCGGTACCCACTCTATCCATGATTTTTTTTCTTTTTAAGGAAAAACTCTTCACTCCATTACTATTGTCATCATCAGTCTCTCTAATTCTCTAATTGTTTTCTCAAAAAAAATCAGTCCCTCTAATTTTACTTTACAACAGTAATTCCAGCCTGCGCAAAAAAAAAGTACAATTCCAGCCGACATATCGTTGCGTAGTCCGTACTACACTACGCGCACTTCCGACTTTACGTCTCCACCCTCCGAACGAATTCAAATCCCAAACACGAACCCCTCAAAAGCCTCTAGGAAAATCGACATTCCAACGCAGCCCCCCACCCCCACCTCGCCTGAGCAGGTCGCCGGCGACCGACAGGCCTTCAGCTCGCCCCCAACCCCCCCACCCCTCCCGCGACGACCCGGGGGGAGGCGCCGAGCGAGCAGGGGGGATGGAGTTCACGGAGGCGTACAAGCAGACGGGCCCGTGCTGCTTCTCTCCCGACGCCCGCTTCCTCGCCGTCGCCTGCGACTACCGCCTCGTGGTCCGCGACGTCGTCACCCTCAAGGTATACACGCCACCATTTACCCGGCCTGTTTCTCCCCCGTAGAATTGGGCTGCGGGTCTGGGGTTCATCCCTTTGGGGTAGTTGCTGGCGAATCTGGGATTTGAGGTTCGTGCCAACTGGCGTGCTTCAGATTTGGGCGCCTTGATGCGTGGAATGCGCCCAATTTTAATCGATCCCAGCTTAGTTCAATTTTGACTGAAATCAGATCGACCTGCCATAGCATATGAATCGACATGACACTTCAAACTCGTGTCTGGACTCTCGCCTTGACAAACATTTAGGTCTTTTAGGTCTGTACTTGCTATAACTAAGTAATGTGATTCGACCTGATTGCTCCTAAGTAGCTAGTACTTGCCTTACTACTGTCTTGGATGATTCAACATTGATGTCTCCTACAACATCTGTAGTACGAGACTTCACATTGTTTAAGGGGTCAATTTTGGGTTGTGAGTGGTATGGGAGTGGATAATACGGGGTTCTGTTTTTCATGTTCAGGTTTAGATGGGTGCATCTGCTCTGCACATATAAATTCTATCTGCTCTTTCAGCTTAGAATGCACCCTTTTATTTGTGTTATCATTACTATTGGTCTAATGTATTGTGTAACTTCTAGATTACTCTTTACTATCTTTTGGATTCATGCAAGTTCCATGAGTTCTTCACGTTTTTATATCTTTTATGCGAAAGTGGCATGCTGTATTATTGTGTTATCATTTCAACTTTGAAGAATGGCTATGTATGTAATACCTTGCATATTGCATCCATTACCTAAGAAAATGTATAATTCCTTACAACTTTGTGCCCATAGGAGTTGCATGAATCTTAAGTTTATGTGATCTCCTTGTCATTATAAGAATGTTAGTCACATCTAGACACTAAAAATTGTAAACACATGCTTTCACTTGCTTGTGCAGGTGGTGCAGTTGTTTTCATGTGTAGACAAGATAAACTTTTTGGAGTGGGCACCAGATTCAGAATACATTCTATGTGGACTTTACAAGCGGCCAATGGTGCAGGCTTGGTCGCTGAGCCAGCCTGACTGGACCTGTAAGATTGATGAAGGATCTGCAGGGATTGCTTATGCTCGCTGGAGTCCTGACAGTCGTCATATACTCACTACATCAGAGTTCCAACTCCGTTTGACTGTATGGTCTCTTGTAAATACTGCCTGCGTTCATGTACAGTGGCCAAAGCATGCAGCCCGAGGTGTTTCTTTCACTAAGGATGGGAAGTTTGCTGCGATCTGCACCAGGCGGGACTGCAAAGATTACATAAATTTGCTCTCATGTCATTCCTGGGAGATAATGGGTGTATTCGCTGTTGACACACTAGACTTGGCAGGTGTTGAGTGGTCGCCTGATGACAGTGCTATTGTGGCCTGGGATTCACTTCTTGAATACAAGGTGCATGTGCTATCTCTACAGAAACTTCCTGGTGTTTTATGTGTTATGGCTTGTGACTGTAGCCAATTCTTATGTATATCTCTATGCAGCAGTTTTAGTTACCCCGTTTGTTATATTATGGTACTCTTCCATAATTATCTTCATTTACAGTATCTCATGATCTTACCTCACATCTTTCTAGTTTGCTTAAGATAGCTAAGTTTTTTAAATTGAGATGACGTTGCTTGAGTTACCTTATTTGTTGCATGGTTGTCATGCCACACCGTGTTATCTTTTCTTGAAGGGCACACAGCAGTTTACTCTTGTGCAACCACTGGTACTTGAGGACATTATTGCATTTGGTTCATGCCATGTACCTATATGTTTAATTTGGTTTTTGATGATTGATCAATTGGAACACGGGGTTATGGTTTCCCTTAAAACATATTGGGCCATGGCTTAAAAAATAATTCCTTGCGCGATCCTTCAAAAGCACCCTCCATTTTTATAGCTAAACCAATCTTGTATTCAACTCTTAAAGATCTTCTTTTGTGTCCTAGACGAAAAATGAGGTGAGATAGTTCAGTGCAGAGGTAACAATTCTGAGGTAGTGAAATGTAAACTGATCATTCAAAGAACATGTCTTGTGCAGGTTCTAATATATTCACCGGATGGGCGATGCCTGTTCAAGTATTCAGCATATGAAAGTGGGCTAGGTGTCAAAACTGTTGGTTGGTCACCTTGTGGACAATTTTTAGCAGTGGGCAGCTATGATCAATCAGTGCGAATATTGAACCATTTGACATGGAAAACCTTTGCCGAGTTCACTCATGCAGCCTCGATTCGAAGTCCCTATAATGCTGCAGTATTTAAGGTAAATCTGTCTATTCCTATCATTAATTCCCATCTTAGCAGATTTACTGTTGTTTTGGTGTTTGAACTCAGCATATTTACACTTTTACTGTCCATGCCATTTGATTATAACAACAAAATATGACACAGGAAGTGGATGACCCATTTCAGCTTGATATGTCAGAGTTATGTCTAAGCGAAGGCTTGTCTCGTAACATGCGAGACAATGGCACTGGTAAGATTACGAAAATGGATTTATACTCATTATTGCTTGTTTCCCTATGTTCACCCATTCATCATACCATTTTCTTAGCATTTCTTGCTTGGCAGTTCCCTTATCAACTGAAATAGGCTGTGCACGGTCTATGGAATTAACCAAAGAAATCATCAAGATGTTACCCTATCTAACAAAATTGAACAAGAGCATATTCTGGGACATCCTTTTTTGTGTGTACAGTCTTATCAGACTTGTAAGCTTAACCTTTCTGATTTTGGCATTTAATGTGATACATCTGAAGATGTATTTACTTTACTTAGTTATTATGTCTTGAGTCTTGACATTGGTAACATTGTACCCTATAGTGTGAGTCACCTTGGTATGTTTCTTTGCATAGTCAGCAAAATAAGTGTCGGTTCTATTTATGTTGGACTTTTTCTTTGAGTGTTGACTTGGTGTAGAGAATACATTACTTTGCAACACCACGTGTAAGTAAAAACTATTGATGGATTGTAGCTTAAGGCCATCTCGGTGTTAAGATGGGCGGTCTCCTCTAATATTTTCTAGATTTGTGGAGGCTATGTACACAATAGCTCAAGAACATACATAACCAAACTGACACGTTGTATGCTGCCTTTTGTGTACTTTTGTCAATTATTTCATTGTATTGTTCTGTAATGAATTTTCCTGTTTTGTTTATCAGAAAATGGCTCAGAAGGAGGTTCTAGAGTAAAATATGCTGTGATGGATGTTCCAATCACCGTGCCAGCACAGAAACCAGCTAGTGACAAGCCCAACCCCAAACAAGGAATCGGTTAGCTGCTTTTACTT